TAGGGTAAATTAAGAGACTGTCACAATGTTATTGAGCGATATGAAAGGCTTGATTGAAGCTGTGGTGGTTGGGATGGGGAGAGATGATAGAAGAAATGTGGAAATAGAAATGGCAAGATTTGATAACTGAACATGGGAGTGGGGAAGGAATTAAATGAGTGCAGAGATTTTGAGCCTGCACAGATTTGCATGGTTTTAAAAGGCCCGGCAACTATTTTCCTTACTTTTATGAGGTTGGATTGAAGGTAAATTTTTTAGGCAGAGCTGTTGAAGAGGTTTCTTTTAGCATTAGTGATGATCACCCTAAAAGATGTTGTAAGCTGCCTGGTTAAGTGAATTGTACCAACACAATTCTCAGCAGAAGCTGTAATAATTGAGTAGCATTAGAAGAAATATGCCAGTGTCAAAACGCCGGTTATATCAAAATGTGGAAGAAGACTTTCCATTCGTTTCAGTCTTTCTATTCTTGAGTTACCTTCTTTCTATGGGATATTTGGCACTGTGTTTTACAAACAACTTAGGAAAAGGGAATGTGATACTAAATCTGGAAGCAGGGAAATGAAGGAAATTCAATGCTCAAGAATCTTGAAAACTCTGGTAAACAAGCTAGTTTTTGTTGAAGTTTATTTTACGTGGCACCTGTGGGTTGATCTATTTATTTGAATGTTTTCATGGTGGAATATTAAATAATAGTCAGAATGTATTGATAATTGTCAGGCACTCTTCTAGACAGTTTTCTGCATGCAGAATATTTTATTTACTCCTCACAAAACTCTGTGACGTGGGCATCTTATTGTCCCCATTTTCCAGCTAGAAAATTGAGGCTCGGAGAGAGAGGCTTAATAATGAAAAACAGCCACTGATTCATGCTTTTTGCTTCAGTTCATTCATGCTCCTGTTTTATTTAGTTGGTTTTAATTCAGTAATACACTGAAGGACTTTTATGCTGAAACATTTGTGAAAATCTAGATTATATTTGCTCAGAGCCTGCAATGGGTGGGATGGCTCTTCTGGATACAGCAGGGCAGGATGGCCCTGGTTCAGGAGTTATAGTAAACAACATGCTTTTTGTCTTCTCCTTAATTTGTAGTTTAGCTTGACTTTCTCCTGGTGCTTGGCTAAGGGTCACCTTCATCACCATTCTTATCATTATTTTAATTATTATCAGTCACTGAACATTTCTATGTGTCAGTTTTGAGCATGGCATTGCATTATTTCATGGAAACATTACAATACCATATGATGTTGCTACCCTTCTTTTTACTTTCTTTTCTTTTTTTTCTCCCTCCCCCCCCCCTCTCTTTCTCGCTCTCTCTCTGTTTTTGAGTTGGAGACTCACTCTGTCACCCAGGCGGAAGAACAGTGGCATGAACACAGCTCATCATAGCTTGAGCTTCTGGGCTCAGATGATTCTTCCCTCTCAGCCTCCTGAGTAGCCTGGTGTTTTTGTTTTGTTTAATTTTGTAGTGATGAGGTCTCACTATGTTTCTGGTTGCTGGTCTCAATCTCCTGGGCTCAAGGAATCCTCTCGCCTCTGTCTCCCAAAGTATTAGGTTTACAGGCTTAAGCCACCATGACCAGCCTTTTGTTTTCTTTTTATATGTGAGTGGAAAGAACAAGTAACTCACACAAGGTCCGGCAGCGGGTGAGTAGCAGAGATGGGACTTGAACCCATCTGTCTGATTCTAGAGCCCATCTTCCTAGCCTCAGTGGTATTTTGCCCCAAGGGATCATTGTGTCACCTCACTTGTTTTTGAAATTTTACCTGCATAATAGCTCTAAACAAATCTTGCCAGTATTTTACATTTTCATATTTCTCTATTGACAATAATATCAAAATTTAAAAACAAAAATTATGCCAACTTTACATTAAAGTATTTACAACTACTTTGGAATATGATGTCAGGTTTATTTTTCCTTACCAGACTTCACTCTCATTCTCAAGGTCCCTACATTGGGTGCTCTTTTATTTGGGTTTAAATTGTAATCTAAAATCCAGATATGCTTGGGAAATAACTTTAGGTTTTTCCCCTTTAGACTTTGTGATATTGTTAGCTGTTGTATTCAGCTTGCACTATTCAATAGGTTAATTACCTAAGGAAGCTGCAATTTCTCTTTTTAATTCTACCTGGTGGATGATGTGTTGATAGTACCATATGCAAACATTCAAATCACAGAAGCATTTTTCTCACACACTGAAAGGTGGTACCTCACCAGAAGCAGGGTGTCCCTGGGGGAGGCTTGGGGATGCAGTGGAAAATCAGTTTTCATAGCTTTGTAGAGCTCATCACAAAATAACACCCACCTCCTTCCATTTCAATCCAAGTGCTTTCAAGAGTGCAAAAAGAAGCATCAGAAATTAATAGGCTGCTCTTCTGACAGACCAAACAGTGACTACTTGGACCTCAAGGGCAACTTTTGCTAATCATTTATGCATTCTGTAAGGTGAGAGTCATTCTCATTGAGGGACTTCTCAAAGTTGTCCCACTCCTATGTGAGAAAATTACAGGCAAGGATAAAGAATTTTATTACTTATGCAGTGCATAAAAGCTAATAACATAATAACCAATTAGATGGTTATAAAACCTGAGAATATTAAAGTATTATGCAAATACTGATTAATAGTAATATCATAAATTCACTGAGCAAGCAAAAGCATGCCTGATTCATATTATAGGAGCTTTTATTTGCATTTCTACAGAATCTATTATTAGTGGGTCTCAAAACATCTTACGAGTAGTAATTATTAAAGCCCATAAATCTGACCAGTAAATGTCGTTTTATTAATTAAGTGAATATGAAAGAATTCCTCTGCACCTCATACATATCATGAGACCAAAATGCCTAAACAAAAGTGAGATTCTCCATACACGGAGAGTATTTGTACATGGTGGATGTTTTCAACTTTGATTCTAGAGGTCTAGAAACTGGTGGCTATGAATTTAAGGGTCTCCCATGAGTATCTCACCATATGCTAGAATGCTTTACTTACTTTTGAAATTCTACCTATGTAATAGCTCGAAACAAATCTTGCCACTATGTTATATCATGCTATTTCTCTATTGATTATAATATCAAAATTTAAAAACAAAAGTTATGCCAAGTTCACATTAAAATATTCAAAAATATTTTGGAATATTATGTCAGGTTTATTTTTCTTCAAGCGATGGCCTGTTCTGTGGACTAACTGCTTGTCAGCACAGTCAGAGAAGCCTATGTCTATTATTATTTTTTGGCCTCAATCTCACTCCATCGCCCAGGCTGGAGTGCAATGGCACAATCATGATTCACTGCAGCCTCAAACTCATGGGTTCAGGTGTTCCTTCTGCTTCAGCCTCCCGAGTAGCTGGAACTATAGGCATGCGCCACTATGCCTGGCTAATTTTCCAATTTTTTTTTTTTTTTTATAAATGAGGTCTTACTGTGTTGCTAAGGCTTGTCTCAAATTCCTGGACTCAGACAATCCTCTGACCTTGGACTCCCAAAGTGTTGGGATTACAGGTGTGAGCCATGGTGCCTGGCCCCCTGTGTCAATTACTCTACTCTGTAGCAAGTACTTGAAATGTTGTATGGATTTTAATCTAATTCCACATGCTCTGGTGCCCTTTCTCCTCTGTTTCTCCTTCCTTGCCACCTTTTGCAACTCCCAGACTTGCTAAAGCTAAGCACAGGCTGGAAAAAGCACAAGAATGTTTCTGGTGACTGACTCTCCCTGCCTCTCCGTCTGGCGTCCTCAGGCTCCCCCAACAAGGTTGATATTCAGCTTTATTGACTTCTGCCGCTGAGTGACTATATTGCAGTTGCTGGTCACTGTTGTGAGAGGGCTGTACTTCCATACTGTACTTATACTTCAGTGTCATGCAGACTTAAAGAAGAGTGTGGACGAGCGAGCATCTTCCTTTATAGTTAGGACACTGGAGCCTGGAGAGTTGAGTGACTTGGCTGAGGTTGTGCCGCTGGTTTGTGCTTCCCAACTAGAACTGGGACCAGACCCCAGGCTTCTAGACTCTTAAACCAAAAATTTCCCCTCTACTTTGTGGTAGTTGTGTAAGGCTTTGAGAAACACACACACACACACACACACACACACACACACACACACACACACACACACACACACATTTTAAACCGGAAGCATTAGAGCAGAACTAGAGGAAACCATTTGTTGATTTTATCCAGTACTGGGGATCTGGGGAATCACAAGATTATTGATGGAGTCTCAGGGATCTAAAGAAAAAGTTAGAGATGTGTATGCAGAATTGAGGGGGCAGGTCCTGAGATTATTGTTTGGTGGGAGGAACTGAATGACTGGAGGTAGAGGGGAGTAAAGAACAAAGTAGAGTAGAGAGAGGATGAGGTAGAATCGTTGTCTTAGAGGGATTAGAAGGATGGTTGAGTTTAAGATCATGGCAATGAGTTATTGACATAAAATAACACAAAACTCTAATGGTTACCAGATGGATAGTCCTTAAGGTCCCTGAAGTCTCTCAGGTTGGTGCCAGAAGGGGAGGGAGAGGTCAAGGCATGTGCAGCAAGTATCAAAGTTCTCCAGAAATGCAGGCTGATCACGAACCCCTGGGAAACAGTGGCACAAGGGGGACTGGAGTGATGTCTATAGAATTATGTGGATAGATGTCTATTCTGTGAGATATGCTACATTTAAAAATTCTTATTTTTAGGCTGCACACGGTGACTCACACTTACAATCCCAGCACTTTGGGAAGCTAAGGTGGGAGGATTGCTTGAGCCCAGGAGTTCAAGACCAACCTGGGCAACATAGAGAAACCCCATCTCTACAAAAAAATAAATAAATAAATTAGCCAGGTGTAGTGGCATGTGCATCTAGTCCCAGCTACTCAGGAGGCTGAGGCAGGAGAATCGCTTGAGCCCAGGAGGTTGAGGCTGCAGTGAGCTTTGATTGTGCCATTGCATTCCAGCCTGATATGGAGAGATCTCCAACTTAAAAAAAATAATAAATTCTCATTTTCATATTTTTCCAGGGAAAACTGAGGCTGCTATCAAAAACTTCAGTCCTTACTACAGTCGTCAGTATGCTGTGGCCTTCTGCAATCATGTGCGCAGTGAAGTAGAGCAGCAGAGAGATCTAACATCTCAGTTTCTGAAGACCAAGGTAAACCATGGGCATTTGGTTTACATATTTCAGCCTCTGAATAAAGCTTTATAGCTCACAGTATTTCTGAAATAAACAATAGTTTGAGTGGCAGTTTTAAAAACTCTACTTTGAAATCATCTTGTGCTCAAAAACTCCATTTGCCTGGAGGGTAGAATGTATGATTTCTTGTTGATGGTATAATCCATATAAAAAGAAAACTAACATGACTCCTATTCTATTATGTGTTTTTCCAACACTGATGCTTTGGTATCAGAAAATTTGGCTTGCTGCAGTGAAGTTCGGTTTTTAAAAGGTCGTAATTTCAGTGCCTCGTGCTGTGGGCATTTTTATTTTGGTCATTGATCAAATATGATTTTCTCTTTGAATCCCCTAATTTGTTCTTACTCTTTTGCCTCATTATGAAGTTTACACACAATCTTAACAAATATTTTTTAGTACCTATTAGGTGCCAGGCCATATTCCAAGAACTGGAGAATAAGACAAGTTCTCTGCCTTCCTGGGTTTATATTCACATGTAGGAGACAGACAATAAATAAATAGATAAATATTAGGTGATAAATACTACAAGGAAAAATAAAACAAGAGTCTTATTTTAGAGAAGAGGGTTAGGAAAGCCCTCTGTGGAGGTGACACTTGAGCAGAAATGGGGGTGAAATGAGAGTAGGCTATGTGAAGAGTGCTCTAGGCACATGGAACAGCAGGTGCAAAGACCCTCCAGCACAGAGGGGCTAGACTTCCAAGAGCAATGTGAGCAAGTTAACAGTGAATGCAGAGAGACAGGCAGGGACCAGATCATGTAGACCTCTGGGCCACAACAAGGGTTTTGATTTTAAGTGTGGAGGGTGCTGAATACAGAGTGGTATGTAATTTTAAGTTATCTTTATGACCTTTTTGAGGGGATTGATAATGGGAGGGGGAAAAGGCAAACTGAGGACTGGTAAGGAGGATACTGTGGCATTCAAAGGGAAGGAGGATGGCAAATTGGAATGCTGGTGGTTGCAGTTGTGAGAAGAGGTATTTATGGTAGAGCTAACAGAACTTGCTTATAGAGTGGGTGTGAGATGATAGAAAAGAAGAGAAATCAGTGATGACTTCTTACAGATAAGTGGATGGAGCTGCCTTTTACTCGGAAGGAAGAGTCGGGGCGAATGGAAATCATGAGTTCTCTTTTGGCCATGATAAGTTTGAGCTGCTTATTTGACATGTACATGGAAATATTGAATAGGCAGTTAGGTGTTTTTCACCTAGAACTCAGTAGAATGATTTGGGCTGGAGAATAGAAATTCGGAAGTTGTGAGTTTATAACTAATATTAAAACCATGGGAAGTAATTGAGGGAAAGAATGTAGACAGAGAAAAGGAATAGTACACAGTCCCCTCCAACATTTGGAGATCAGAAAAAGGGGAAGAATCTAGAAAAATGGACTAAGAGGAAACAGCCTGTGGAGTAGGAGAAAAGTCAGGAGAGTGTAACGAATGTCCCAGCAGGAAAATAAAGAAGGAGTTTCAAGAAGGACTGAGTGATAAATGAGGCAAACACTAATGAGAGGCCAAGTTCAGATTCAGATTTAGCAGCGTGAGTATGTAGGGATAACTGACTGTTTTCCCCATTAAACAGTGATCTCAAAATTTAGGGAGCTTGTTAAATATACAAATTCTGGCCCACACCCCCAGAGATTCTGATGTAGTAAGTCTAGAGTGAGGCCACATTTTTAATAAGCTTATCCGCTGACTGGCCCAGGTTTAAGGAAAACTGCACATAAGAATTATAAAGTTCAGCAGATACCGTGGTTTCAGCCCCATTGAAAGAGAAAAGTGACGTTCTTTCTTACCTTTTAATGAGGCAAGATAGGATACTGCCTCATTATCTGCCAGGACGGAATATGAAACACTGGAGTTTGGAAGGGAATTTATTTCATTCCTTAGATGGTTCTTAAAAGAGGTTGGCATATCTGTCTTCTCTGCACGGTTCATGTAAAAGTTTGCTTGAAAGTAGAGGGATACGTTTCTGAAGGCATTATGATTTTTTTAATAAAGGGAAATTAGATGTGAATCCAGTGACACGTAAAAGACAAGAGGTCTGTTCATATTTTGAAATGATGTGGGAATTGTTCAATGAGGCAGGATGGGAATTACCCTCACGCAGTTAGCCCAGTGGAAGACCTAACTAGGAATCCAATGGAAACTCTTCTACAGCACATACAACAGGGGACCTCCAAACCCATAATTTATTTATTAAAAATTGTGTATTTATTCTTATGTGTTTAAACTTTAGTCTCCTTCAAAGTACTCTCCATTTGATGCAATACACTTATCAAGATACTTTTTCCACTGCCCCAAACAGTTTTCGAACTCATCAGTTTTGATGTCTTTTAGTGCTTCTGCCATTTTTTTAGGTTTCACCTATTCCACGTTGGCAAAACGTTTCCCTTTGAGAACTTTTTCCATCCAGGGAAACAGAAAAAGTCACTTGGGATGGGATCGGGTGAACAGGGAGAGTGGGGCATGGAGATCAGGCTGGTTTTGGTCTAAAACTGCAGAATACTCAGTGTGGTGTGGGCAGGTACGCTCGTAAATCATGAAATGGGAAAACACATTAAAGGAATCGCCAAAAAAAAAAAAAAAAAAGAAGATTGGGCTCGGTGGCTCAGCGCTTTGGGAGGCTGACGTGAGTGGATTGCCTGAGCCCGCGGGTTCGAGACCCACCTGGGCAGTGAGACCTCATCTCTACAATAAATAAAAAAAATCAGCCGGGCGTGGAAGTGCATGCCTGTAATTCCAGCTACTTGGAAGACTGAGGCGGAAGGATCGCCGGAGCCCAGCAGGTCGAGGCTGTGGTGGCCGGCAGCGGCCATTGCACTCCAGTCTGGGCGACAGAGTGAGACTCCAACTCAAAAAAAAATATTCAGTGAAGCTGAAGGCAGCCTCTCACACCAATGCTAGATGCTAATGGGTTTCTAGAAAACTTACCCAGAGAGAGAAGTACTACAAGGGGCCCACACTCCAAAAACTAATTCTGATTTTTTTGTTCCCACCCCCCATAAATCAGCAACATTAATGAGCAACAATAAAGAGGGAGAACTGAGGTTTGCTGGTTTGATATTTGTAGATTCTTTAACCAAATAGCAAACAGGGTCTCCTTGAGTGGGATTAAGTGTTTCCAGCCTGGGTCCCCATGGCTTTTGGGTCTGAACAAACCATTGAGTAGTGGTGGTTGTGCCTGCAGTTATGACGAACAGGGGAGCAGCCTGTTAAATTTCCTGCTTTTCTGAAATTAACCCTGAGGCATGTTCAGGATGTCAGGGTAGATGTCCACCCTTACACTTTCCCGCATCACTCCCTCTCTCTCACAGAGTTTATCAAGCATGTATTAAGTGCCACGTGTATGCAAGTCACAACCTTATTACTGTAATCCCTTCTACCATGTGCTTCTGTTCCTATGGCATAATGGAGGGAAATGAAAATTATAAAACAGCAGTAAAACAAATATTTGCATTTGGTCAAGAGGAGTAGGAAAAGGAAATTGTGGAGGAAGCAACAGTTTCCTTAGGACCTCAGTACAAGATAGTTTCCTAAAATATTCCTTGAAATATCATGGATAACAGTGATAACAAGGTATATTATCGGTTGTTGTGATAGTTAATTGTATTCATCTTCTTTAAGCCACCATTGGAGCCTGGAACTGTTTTGTATGAAGCAGAGCTGTCACAGTTTGCTGAAGACATAAAGAAATGGAAGGACAGATACATTGTAGTTAAAAATGATTTTGCTGTGGAGAGCTATGAGAGCAAAGAAGTAAGTCATTTCCTTGTTACCACTGGTTCTTGTCATATCCTTAAGACTGTGGCTGGGTTGATTGGCACACCTTGTCTTTGGAGCTTGATTCATTCAAATAAGCATCACTCACATAGGTACTCATTTCAGTTAACAGATATTTGTTAAATGCCTGCTGTATGCCAAGTGTTATATGAGGTTCTGAGTGTGTAGCAGTCAATCAGAGAGATGCTTGCTTGAACAAGTGATTACAAGTAAATGTGAAAAACGAAGATGGTGTTGAGTGACCAGTGTTTGTCATAGGAACCTTTCCTGTGATCATTCAGCCTCAAGGTCTTTCTCAGTCACTGTGTCCATCATGGTCCTGATACCTGTCCCTCTCTGCTTTATTTCCATGTCTTCCCACTCTGAAAGCTCATATATAACAGGTAGCCGATGAGTTATTTAATAAGGTTGTTAATGAATTTTCTTGGTTTCCTAGCAATTCAGAACACTTCACATACTTTATTCCACTTATACCTATAAATTATTTTTCCTTCAACTTTATTCTGGTTATCTCGTTGTTTTCCTTGTCTATAAAATGTGGAGAAAATGAGGTAATGTATATAAAGTGTCTAGCACTTTCATTTTTACTTTACTTCAGTTTTTACTGGGTCCTTTTTCTTTCCTCATGAAGGGAGGTAACATGGTATAGGGAAAAGAATATTGGACAGTGAATTTGGAAAACTAAAGTTTAGGTCAAGTAGTGCCACTAACTAGAAGTGAATTTATTGACAGGTGACATTGTCTTCAGGTTCAGATAAGGTAGAGAGTTGGATGAAACGATCTCATGTGTACACGTTCTTTAGTCTATAGTCCTCTAGCTCCCTTTGAAACGAATAGTTGCCACTTATTAATTAAAGATAGTAACAGCTTTAAAACTCAGCTCTCTGATTCTAAGCTCAAGAATAAGCAAAATAGTCTCCACGGAGTACTGTGAACAATATCCCTGATGCTAAACCATTAGGAAGAGACTCCAGACTGACAGACCAATGTGTTTCTTTCCTACTTCTGATGAAAAATAGGAATAAAATTCCTATTTTCAGTGCAGAGTTATTCCACAGACTATCAGGCAATGATCAAGTGCTCTTTTGGGTAGATTTATTCTTTTCAACATTTATTAAGCAGGTATTTTCTCTATGTATCTATGTTAGGATTTCATTCTGTACTTAATTTGCACTCAGAAACAAATTATCAGGACACTACAAATAGTAATGATAATAATAACAAATCACCTTCTATTTGGTATGGCCTGTTACAGTGTCCTTTCAGGGAACTTGAGGAGAGACAGTGTAACACAAATTGGTTAATTTTATGGGATTTGAATCACCCATTGGCCAGTCACTAGGTATGTGTCCTTGCCTAAGTTCTAAATCTCCACAAATCTTAGTTTTCTCATCTATAAAACGGTGAGTGTGATCCCTTTGTCATAGCAGTGTTGTGAAGATCAAATAAATGAACGTATGGAAGCACTTAGCATATGGCCAGGCCTAGGTAGAGCCCAATGTAGGGCAGCTGTTGGTGTGATTATGACTAATCTGTTGGGAGGACACACCTCTAGAGCTTGTTCTTGGATTTATTAAGGTTCTTACCACGTTTAACACTAACTGAAGTTTTTCATTCTGAATCAAATGTTGGAATTTTTCCTCTTTTCACTTATTTAAGCTTGCTCTCTCAACTTGCGATTCATGCATTACCCTGCTTTTGCTTTGTTCATCATTTTCAACGGAACCTGTTTGGGTTGCTAAGATGTGGTGACTGAATTTGGTAATAGCCAAGTATTAATAAAACAACAACAACAACAAACTTGAGTGTTTAAAAAAAGTCCATGCAGGTTTCTTAAAGTTTTAATAATATCCTGTTTCTTAATTTATAAAAGTGGTATTTCTAAATGGAACCTAAGTGTTACACACTAAGTATGTATAAATTATCTATTAATTTATTTAGAGTCTAATTTTGGCTGATAATTAAACAGGAAAAGCAAAATATTCTCATGTGATAATCAGTTCCTACCTTCTGTGCACTTGCACTGGAACTGGCAGACATGAGTATGAATTTTGGATTTGTCACCTACTTACTACACATCCGTTAGCAAGTTTTCTAGCCTCTTTGAGATTCATGTTTCTCATTTGCAAGATGGAGGTGATATCTAATGCATAGTATTGTTTTGAGGTTGAATTAATATAATGTTTATAGAAGCCAATATTGGGATCTGTATAACTAAACATAATTCACATTTGAGTTTAGTCTAAATAAAATTGCCTCTAAACCTTTTCAAAATCATACAAGTTTAGATCCTTCTCTGATATATCCTGGGCCCCTGATGTACTTATGCAGTTGATTAGTAGTTTGTTTTTTTTTTTGAGTTGGAGTCTCACTCTGTCGCCCAGACTGGAGTGCAGTGGCCGCTCCCGGCCACCGCAGCCTCGACCTGCTGGGCTCTGGCGATCCTTCCGCCTCAGCCTTCCAAGCAGCCGAAATTACAGGCGTGCGCTACCACGCCCGGCTGATTTTTTGATTTATTGTAGAGATGAGGTCTCGCTGCCCAGGTGGGTCTCGAACCTGCGGGCTCAGGCAATCCACTCACCTCAGCCTCCCAAAGGCGCGGGATTATAGGCTGGCCACCAAGCCCGGCTAGTAGTTCTTACAAGTATGAAAACAGACTTTTTGGATAGCCACAATTTTATTGATGTAGAACGTATTATTGTTTTTCTGAGTTTGTTGTCCATATCAACATTTTTTTTGGGGGGGGTTATCCTCAATGACACAGTATATTTTGGCTCTCAGAGTTTCTTGACTTCAATTCTCAACTTGCTTTTAAGTTGCTATTTTCAGAATTTTTCCTTGAAGATAAGCCCTCCTATGAGATGCACACACTTAAATTTTATGTTATCTGCGTGTCCTTGTGGGCATATCTGCTTAACAAAATGCTTTAGCAAGGCTCTGTGACTCTTCTGTTTCTCAAACAGCAGGGCCTTCTGTCTGCCAGGCAGAATTTGTTCTGATGTCATACCGGACTTCCATCCTGATCACTTTTACTGCAAAACAGTTTCAAGATCATCTAAGGGCAAAGTAATGGCCTATTTCATCATGACGACATTTTAATGTTTTGAATGAAAATCCATGGTAACCATCATTGCAGTTACATGTTCCATAGACTCATTTGTCACCATACATGGCCCACATCTGTCACCAAGCAGTTTGTGTGGTTGTCACCCTTGTGGTTATTATCAAAATGACTCAGGCATTAGTGTCTGAAAGGGTAAATATGGTGCAAACTTTTTAGAAGTTACTGAGATTATGTTTTCCTCATTTGAGAACATACCTACAGTGACTCTCCCTGAGATTTGGGACTCTGACTTACCACCTTGTGACCATCACACAAAAGTATTAAAGTACTACTGGGTAATTGGCAGGTATGCAAGCATATTTTTTGAATAAATGACTCTAACTCAATGACATTTAGTGTGGGGATTGCTATCTCTGGGTATATGGGTATGGGTCTATTTTTAAATATTTCTGGTATTTTCCAAAAACACAAATGGGGGGGAAATCATTCATTCATGTATCTTTCCTTCTCCAGGCTTATCAGAGAGGAGCTGCCCCTAAAAGCCGAATTCTTCCAGCAGGCGGCAAGGTGTTAACCTCAGAAGATGAATATAATCTATTATCTGATAAGCATTTCCCAGACCCTCTTGGTGAGTTGCTAAGCATTCTTTTTTTTCTTTTTTGAGTCGGAGTCTCACTCTGTTGCCCAGGCTGGAGTACAGTGGCATAATCATGACTTTCTGTGGCCTCGGCCTTCTGGACTCAGCCTCCCAAGTAACTGTGACTACAGGTGCACACCAACACACCCGACTGATTGTTTGATTTTTTTTTTTTTTGTAGAGACAAGGCCTCACTATGTTTGCTAGGCTGGTCTCGAACTCCTGGCAATTCTCCTGCTTTGGCCTCCTGAAGTGCTGGAATTACAGGCATAAGCCACATCGCCCAGCCTATGCATTCTTATCCAACGCAAAATTCCTAAACTTCTTTGTCTGGCTAGACCAGGGTAGAGAGATTTTACCCTTCAGGGACATTTGGCAATGTCTAGAGACACATTTGGTTGTCACAATTGGAAGGGGGCACTCCAGGCACTTCCTGGGCTGAGGCCAGGGATGCTGTCAAACACCTACAATGCACGGACAGCCCTTAATGATGAAGAATTATCTGGTATAAAATGACAGTAGTGCCAAGGCTCAGAACCCCTGGGCTAGGCACCATGTTCCACAGACAGATGGAAGATGTGATTTCTCTAATTTAGGTAAACATGGTACCACTTTTGTTATTTCCAACCCCATTCAGTAATATACAAGTCAGTTACTGTGTTTCTAGCACATGGAAAATGTGCTGTTGGTCAGGTATATTGAAGGCTTTGATAACACCCCACAGGGCAGCAGAAATAAACAGGTAGGGCCTAGTCCATGAAGTATACAGTCCCATCTTTCAGTAAGTAAGCCTGGACCTGTTGGGGAATGTTATTTTTCAAATTTTAGGATGATAGGCAAACCTTAAACCGACAAAAAAATCTTTTAACAAGTGTTACAGTAACTCATAGCTACTGTGTTTAAAGAAACAGTATTGCATTAATTTGCATATCTATAAATAAAGCCCAATGCTGCCTGGAAAGAGTATTAAGCTGAGAATTGGGAGACCGAATTTTACCAAGTTCTGACTGTGCCACTTACTAAATATTTTACTTTAACTGGCTGCTGAACTGCTCTGGTTTCTGTTCCTCCAACTCAAATCAGGGCTTTGAACTTGAAAATCTAGAAGGATCTTTCCAGTTCTAACATTGTTTGATTCTCATTTTTTCCTCTTTTTTCATATGGAGAAAGTGATGAATAATAGACAGATCAAATAGGGCAATTCGTAGAGATTCATGAACTGTGGATAATGTAATAACTCCATCTGGCTATTTGTAAATCATACTACATAGTAATTACTCGGTTTCTTGAAGAGAGCCCTGGTTCTTATTAATGTGCATAATCATTAGCATTCATTAGCATTTATGGAGGAAAACATAATCATTATATCAGTTGTTATTTCCATGCAGAATGCTTAGCATAGTGCTTTTAGTAACACAATTATAGAATTAGTACATGGACCATAAACCTAGATTAACAAATCATTACTAAGCAATTCAGTCTAAAACAACACTTTGTGTGCACTATGCATATTATTACATTTTCTTTCAACATCTTCTTATATGCCTTCTTGGCTGTGGTTGCAGCTAGAAATGGGAATATTAACATGTTGACTCTTCAGAATCTCTCTAAAACTTTCCAGTGAAATCAGTCAGAACAGACAATACATTTATTGATGAAATCATATAGGAAGAAATGAGAAGGAATAAAAAACACAAGGCCTGTGTGACTCATGCCTGTTGGCCCAGGGTTTCAGATTGGGACATGTTCATGACTTTTTAAATTGTGTGGTGTGGCCTTCTGAGTTTTAAAAATAGAATATTCTACAGTAGATATTTGTGATATCCTTGTAACACAACTTAGAAAAAAAAAAGCAGACTGTGGCATCTGGAAAATTGTTGTAAAGGTTAAGAGAGACAACTGGAGCCTACAGGAATACATTTTATGGGGCTTGCTAAGGCTTTTACGTGCAAAGGATCAATGTTGTTTTCAGTTGTTTGTACGAAATTGTGACATTCTTGGAGAGGGCAAGGAGAATTGTATAATACAAGCCATGTCTATCAGGGAGACTCACTGTGTGGCACCATTTCCACTGGAAAGAATAAAGGCACAGTAGTAGAGATGTGGGGAATTAACCTTGTTTGAGAAAAAGCACAGAAGGCTTAGAAATAAGTGTATTCTTTACAGAGGACTCAGCTAAGATGATGTATCAAAAATGCCCTCATGCTTTGTTAAAGTGATTTATTTATTTGGCATTTTATTAGTTAGAATCTGGTTGGCTGTACACACACACACACAAATTCAATTTTTTATTATCTCACTAAAATTTTTATTATCTCATGAGAAATGTTGGCCTATTAGTCCGGGACTGGTGTGGTAAATCCATAAATGTATCAGAGGTTCAGGTTTTTGCTAGTTTTCTCCCCTGTTGTTTCTAGGTTGTAGTCTTTGTTGGCAGAGTTCAGGGTGGCTGCTGGAGCTCCAGCTATAACTTTATCATTCCGGCTGATAGCAGGAAGAAGAAAAGGGGAGGAGGAAGGCACATTCACTATCTTTCAGGATACCTCTAGAAGTTTCACACACCATTTCAGTTTACGCCCTATTGGCCAGAACTATTGGCCCTGCTCTGCCAGGGCTGTTCTCTGCCCCGCTGCACTCCCTCCTCCCTGTCAAAACAGCATTTGCTGTCTTCAAGCCATCACCCCTCCCCTCGCCTCAGTCTGATTCTTGCCCTGCCAGCTCTTGGGACCCAATGGCTGAGGTCACTTATGTCATCATGACTAGCAGCTATGGCCGCTTCTTGATGACTTGTCCTATTAGTCAAACCTGAAATGTTTGTTGCTGCTAACAACCGCTTCTTTTGAAAACATTCCCCTTGACTTCCAAAAGCACCTCTCTCCATGTTCTTTCAGCTTTTTGGCAATTTGACTCTTCCTTGTCACCTTTATGGGCTCCTCTGGCACCTCTCTCCATCTCTCCATTATGTGTTGGTGTCTGCCCTATGCTGGGCTGTTTCCAGTCCTCCCCCAACCCATCTCTCCCAGGCTGTGCTGGTCCATTCCAAGACTTTTTATGTTGTTCCCACAGTCCATATCACCTTTGCCTCCTTCCTTCCAGCATCATGTTTTCAATTTTCCCATAGAAAATTTTCATTCATCCTTCAAAAGTCAGTTTAGGAGCTACCTGCCTTGAGATGCCTTTACTGGCACCTACAGCTGCCACCAGAGACACTGTTAGATGCTCCCTACCTTGTTCTCCCCAGAGGTTGTAATGACCTGTCTCCATGACTGGCACCCACACTCAGGGTGGGGAGGTAGGGTGGGGGAGGGAAGAGTGAGATGACTCCCACTGAGTCTCACAGGGTTCCTCTCCCCAGGAAGAAGAATTTCTGCTCTGCACTGGAATCCTCTAGGGATGCAGACAGCATCTTACAGAGTTTTGCATCCTTGCCCATAGCGTGGCCAAGGCACCTAGTACACCTTCAACTTCAGTGTGTTGAGTGAAAAAATGTGCTAATTTGGCTTAGGAATTTCTAAAAGTCCTAAACCTCTTCCCTCAAAATCAATTCCAAGAAACTCCCTGGCAAACCATGCTACTATTCAGAACCCCTACCTAAACTTCATCCCTTTCCATTAATTCCTACTACATGATACTGTGCTTGTTTCAATGAACCCTAGCTTACAAGGGGAGACTCCCCCAAGCCCAAAAATTATTTATAAAAAATTTACTGCTTATAAACATATTTACTCTTACATGTTTAAACTTCAGACACCTTCAAAGTACTCTCCGTTTGATGCAGGATGCCTATTGAAATGCTTTTTCCACTGCTCAAAAGCCTTGAACTCATCAATTTTGAGGCCTTTTGGTGTTCTGCCATTGTTTGTTTCATCTCTTCCACATCAGCAAAACATTGCCTTTTGAGGACTCTTTTTTTTTTAATCCCAGGAAACAACAACAATAGAAATTCACTAGGGAGAGATTGGGTGACTAGGGAGTATGGGGCATGGGGGTCATGCCGTTTTTTTGGTCAAAAACTGCTGTTCTGGCCAGTGGGATGTCAACTGAAGTGTGCAAAACTTCCTGGAGGTGTCCTTAGAGAAAGTGACTGCACCCTCCTCCCCTTCTTTGGTCCATCCTGCTATTGGCTGGAGCTCCAGCAGCCACCCTGGATTCTGCCAACAAGGATCACAACCTAGAAATAATGGAGGTCAGGGTCTACAAAGGTGAGCCCACAGAGGGCCAGAAGAGAAGAGGGAGCTGTTTGTGGGTCTTCCCCCACCCGCTTTTCTTTTCTTTCTTTTTTTTTTCTAGGCAGAGTCTTGCTCTGTTGCCTAGGCTGTAGTACAGTGGTGCAGTCCCAGTTCCCTGCAGCCTTGACCTCCTGGGCTCAAGCAATCCTCCCATCTCTGCTCCCCAAGTAGCTAGGGCTATAGGCACATGCCACCATGCCTGACTAATTTTAATTTTGATTTCTTGTAGAAATGAGGTCTCACTATGTTGTCCAGGCTGGTCTTGAATTCTTGGGCTCAGGTGATTCTTCCATCTCAGACTCTCGGAGTTGGAATGACAGGTGTGAACCACTGTGCCCAGCCTGTTTGTGGACCTTTTTGACATAAGGAAGTTGAGAAAGATTGTGCCAGATGGCCTTGTGTTCCTGTAAGGCTAGGAGTAAGGCTGGGTGGCCGGCTGCCATGAAACAGGGGAAGCTGGGAGAGGGGTACAGTAGGAGCCTGAGGTCCCATTTTCCCCATTCTGTGAAAACATCTTACACGAACTTTGCATCCCATGGCCTGCCCCCGATAGTTACCTTCATGACCTGAAATACCTATTTGAAATAAAAGGTACCTGTTTGAAAATGTATTTGTGTTTTCAATATCTCTTTAGCCTCCAATGAGAAGGAGAACACACAGCCCTTTGTGGTCCTGCCCAAGGCATTCCCGGTGTACCTGTGGCAGCCCTTCCTCAGACACGGCTACTTCTGCTTCCATGAGGCTGCTGACCAGAAGAGGTTCAGCGCTGTCCTGAGTGACTGCATCAGGCACCTAAATCACGGTATGGAAGACCCCCCCTTCACTTCTAGACCCAGTGGGGCTGCTTTTTCTGAGATTTCTTGGTTTGTCATCTGTTCTGATATTTCTTAGAAAGAGCCACAGAGGGTGCTGCCCAGAAAAGGAGAAAGAGAGGGGTAAAACCAGAATGCCTTACCTAGGAAGTATGGCCTGCTTGCTAAGGTTGCTCGGGCAGGACTAGGAGGGCTCATTGAGGCAGGGAGCAGTCATCTGATGGCACGTGTGGGCGTGCACTCAGACTGTTCTGTTGACTCATTCAGATCACTTTACATGTAATTCATGCTTCTTTTTCCTGATGATGTTTTTTGTCTAAATGCCAGCAAGAATATACCCATTGTCCCTGGCAAAATCCTAGTCTTTATGGTATTTCTTGTTAATCTCCACCTTTATTTCCAAACAATAGTTGCTCAGTTAAGACCAGTGGCACAGTTTATTGGAATTTAAATTTGTTCCTCAATCAGTGGTTCTCAAAACTTTAGGGTTCACAAGAACTTAATTAAGACACAGATTCTTGGACTCCACCCTCAAACATTCTAATTTGCTGGGTCTATGGTGGGGCCTGAATCTTGCCTTTCTGACAAACTGCCAAGTAATGCAGGTGCCATTCATTTGTGGACCACACCTAGACTTGTGTGGTTTCAGATCACTTTGCCTGTAGGCAGGGATTTGACTAAGATTGCATCTATAATAAAAGAGACTTCTCATCCCAGTGTGTGATGGTTTTGATATATTGATGTGAATGCTGGTTTTTTTGGAATCCATGAAGCCTTCAGCTGCAGATAACTGAACTCCTTCTTCTTTGGCAGTTGGAAAGGCAGCCAGTCTCATAGCATCAAAGACTTAACTTAATCTGTGCCAATCTCCTTATAGGTGTTAGGAACTGAGTAATGATGCGTACAAAGTTCCTCTCTCTGAGAGTCTAAATTCAAACCGAGGAAGGACAAACACACCCATCAATTCTCATTCGGTATTCATCAAAGTTAACGTGTTAAGGAGTTAATCTCTAGTGAAGAAGGGGTATGGTACTTTAAGCTCACCAGGGAGGCTTCTTTGAGGAGGTGACATTTGAGCTGATTGACTGCATCCATGTGCCTTTATTTCCTAATATGGTTAATTTCACTGTATATTTACTTCGCAGTTTGGAGGTTTCCCCAAGAGCGTCAGTTAACCCACAGAGCAAGAGTCACTAGTGATGCATCTGTTTCTTGATTTTAGCTTGTGCATTGACAGGAGGCTCATGGAAAAAGATAAGGTCACCCAGTTTTGCTGTTGCCGCTTGGGTAGCATTCAACATAATATTGACTCATGACTAGTTAGTGACTTTATAAAGACGATACTCTTATTAATATCTTACCTTGTAGTTTTGAAGTATTAGAGACACAGACTTGCCCAGCACTGTCTGCTCCATTTAGCCCATTTTCCAGTACATTGACACCTCTGTGTGTAGGGCCTTGGTCTAGTATGAACATGCAGTTGGCACCAAGCACAAGAACTGCAAAGTTTCACTGAACAGAGAATGTTCTCTGCCCAGCCAAGTGGGACTTGCTGCATTCCCCCTTTCATGTACATAATAGGAATTTCTCTGAGGAGTTTGGATGTTATGTAGCCTGCCTTCAGACTCCATTTATGGAAGATTTCAGTCAATTCAAAACCCAACTCTACTCTCCAGTATGTTATCAAAGGCACCGAGATAATGAAGTCTGGCTATATTTCCCTGGTTTTCTGTCACATTCCTCTGTCTTGAAGCCATTTTTTCCTCACTGAGGCTTTATGCAGACTTCATTTGGCACAACTTCCCATAGCTCCAGTCAGAACCAGAGACCGTCAAAACATCACAGGGAACAGTCCTTGACCATCGTGGGCCGATGAACGCACAGGCCTCTTTTTTTCTGTTTTTGACAGCACAAGACACCACTAATTTTTACTGTATCATTTCTTCTGCTCTAGGTTTTACCTGTTATTCATTGTCTGATTTTGAGTAAACCAGTAAGAGGTTTCTCACAAGCTTCCAGTTAACCATTTCCCCCTTAATTACAAGAAGAGTTTAGAAACATGTAAAATCAGAACTGTGATTTTTCAGAAACCACCAGAAACCTGAGGTGGCTACTGAAAGCTTGCTGTGTTCCATCTCCAGGCAAGTAGAGGAAGGGTGTCAGCCTGCAGATGCCATTGTGTCATTGGCTCTCTGGTCACCACGCGTCTCCTTTGAGAACTAGCCACAGGCATTTTAACAGCAGATATCTGGCCCCTGATGATTTCACTTGGGGTTCCCAGGATGTATCCCCTAGTCCTCAAACACCACCTCAACCCAGCCCACTTGCCCTGGGTGTGTTGGGTCTGAATTGTCTACGCCCAGTCATTCTGAATCTGTGTGTCTTGCTTGACCTTATGAGGAGAGTGTGTTTCCTATTTAACCCCGACAAAGGGCCTGAATATACGCTGCTCTTGAAAAGTAAGAACAACTCCTAACATTCTTCTTCAAGGGAGGGAGCAGCCTTTAGGTCTCTCAAAGATTATTTACTTCTAAGGACTATAAAGGGGTGTGTGTGTGTGTGTGTGTGTGTGTGTGTGTGTGTGTGTGCGCGTGCGCGCACGTGCACGTGCCCGTGCATACATGGGCGCGTGCACTTGCTTGTGTGTTTTGCTTTGGTTTAGTTTTGGCATCCCTTCATTGAGCGGGCATAAGAAAATCCCACAAGACGAATCTGTAGTAGAACGTCCCACTCCAACTTGCTGGACTAAATGTCAAGCCCACTGTATGACATGCAGCTGCCGTCTTCTGTCCCTTTTGGAATCCCACTGCAATCTCTTGTCTGTCTTCAGGAAAGGCCAGGGTTCCTGAATGTCCACCGCCACAAAATGGGACATACATAAAGCCAAGATGTGCTGAGGCAGTCCTGTTGTCCAAAATTCAGTCCTATTCTTCAGAATTTTAGTGTGAAAAATGTGGTCATTGTAGTTATGGGGATAGAGCTGAAACTCCTGACAATACAGAGGACTGAACACATGCGATATGGAATAATGACCATGATCAATGTGAGTCTGTTCTTCTAGCTCAGAATAATCATTCCTTGCATGTGAAGTTGCAGGAGGGGGAGAAAGTGTTCCTGGCAGGAGGAATAGAATATGTGAGGGCTGGCAAGTGAAACGGCATGCACCATTAAAGGAACTGAAAGAATTGTGTGTGACTGGTGTTTAGAGAGGAGACGGGAGCAAAGTGAAGCTGGGAAGATGGGGAAGATCCAAACTATATGGGGCTTTGTGTGAGGTATATTGGAAATTTGGATTTTTTTTTTGAGTCTGGGTCACGCTCCGTTGCCCAGGCTGGGAATGCAGTAGTACAATCATGGCTCACCTCAGCCTTGACCTACTGGGCCCAGGTGATCCACCCACCTCAGCCTCCTAAGTAGCTGGGACTATGGGCACATGCCACCATGCCCAGCTAATTTTTGCATTTTTTTCTAGAGACAAGTTCTTGCTATGTTGTCCTCCTGAGCTCAAGCAATCCTCCCACCTTGGCCTCCCAAAGTGTTGAGATTACAGATGTGAACGACTGCACCTGGCCCAGAATTTGGATTTTATTCTGACTGTAATAGGAAATCATCAAAGGGTTTTAAGTAGCTAAGTGACTTCATTAGATATTTACTTCAGAAAGGTTGTAGTGATGGCAGGGTAGGCAGTGGAGGGGAGGGTAGCATAATGGGTGGCCAGGAGGCCAGTTAGTAAACTTTGGAAACAGAAAGAGAGGCAGTGAGGGGAGGCATTTGCCAGTCTAAAGCCATTCTCAACCTGAAGGATTTTGAGAATGGAGGCGCTGGATGTTAGAAGGCAGCCATCCTGGATGAATGGTGATTCTGGAAAGGAGGCGGGATGCCAGCAAAGGTTTGTTCGACCGTGCTGTACCACCTTGAAGAACCACTGGGACTGCCACTCAACAGATATCAGTTGTTACATCACAAACCCTAAGAAAGAGTGTACAGCAGGATATCTGAGAAGCATGAGAGCACATGCTTCTCATGTGGGAAAAGATGGTACTGAAGAAGAACTCAGAGGATTCTGACAAAAAGATCACAGTGATGTAAAGGCATTCTGCAAACCTGTGCTTCAAGTTGCACTAGTTCGATCACCTCTGACAGTTATCACATCCAAGGGTGCTTGTAATGGAGCGAGTCAGGAGGAATATGGAGCCACAGCAGTGAGTACATGTTGGAACTGGTTACTGACGTGTTGTGTACCTTGAACTCTTATCCCAGACATCCCATGTCAAATCAAATGCCTTTATTCAATTTGATCTTGACACTTACACATTTTAGGTGTTCAATACATGTTGCTGAATTGAATTGAATTTCAGAACAAAAGAGGACCTTACAATTCAAATCAGACAGAGCAAATTATTTTTGGTGTGTTTATCTGAACACGATGTTTCATGCTCTTCAGCACTCAGCAGCTAAGCTCAGATCTATTTTCACCAACTTAATTTCTACTTGGAGCCCATTATCACCTATGAAGCAGGCTTATTACCTGAGGGACTAAGAGTCTGGTGTGAGCATCAGTCAGTTCTAACTGAAGGTGTACAATGAATTTTATTTTGTAATATTTGAAAACATACTTTTGAATTTTGTGACACATGCCTATGCTTATGGACAAATGTATCTATGAGTTGGAAAAGTCTAACTTATACTTAGGCTCTTTTGGACAATTTACTATAAATGAATAATGTTTGGAGATGGATAAATGAAAATACAGCTTTTATGAATATCTCTTTGAATGATTTTACTTTTAAACATATTCTATAGTATATTTGTGTAAACACCTCTACACACTGCTAACAAAATGCTTGCTGGCCACTGTTTAATAAATACATAGATAGCAGTTTCCAGTTTACATTTTGCTTGTGCCAAACAAAATTCTTTGAAAGGACTCTCTGTTTGGACAACATTCCTCCTGGAGTTTAGTCTATGATCTGAGTTAATACTCTCTCTC